TCGATCCTCAGCACCACATACAAACAAAGATGTTGTGTCTGCCGAAAACTAAAAAATAAATATTAAAATTCTTTCTCTCTCTCTCTCTCTTAAAATAAATAAATAAATAAATGAAGGCCCATCAACAACTAAAAATTTTTTTAAAAAGAATGTTTGAATATGGTTTGTCCTCACCAAACTCATGTTGAAGCTTAATTCCTTGGTGCAGCAGGATAGAAACTTTTAGAGGTGAGTGAGTTGTTAGGAGGGACTAATGCCTTTCTAGGAGACTGTGTAGAGCTTAGTATATGGATTAGTTCTAGAGAGACCAGGTTTTTATAAAGGAGGGAATCCCAAATGCTTAGCCCCTCTGCTTTTCCACCATGAACTGAGCAGCATGTGGCCCTCACCAGAAGCTAAGAAGATGCCAGGACCGTGCTGTTGTACCTCCAGAACTGTGAGTTAAATAAACCTCTTTTCCTTATAAATTACCCAGTCTCAGGTGTGTTGTTATAGCAACACAAAATAAACTAAGGCACATATGATAAGAAGTTAAAATATGAATACGTAATAAGCAACAGAGATGGCAAACTTGAGAAATTTTGTTAAAGGGTAGGGAAAAGATAAGACAGTTGTATAAGTACACAGAGGGAAGGGGAATTTTTTTGTCTGTTTGTTTTGGCAGTACTAGGGATTGAACCCAGGGGCACATTACCACTGAGCTGTAGCTCCAGTCCTTTTATGGTTTTTTTTTTTTTTTTTTTTTTTTTTGAGATAGGGTAAATTATCCAGGCTGGCCTTGAACTTGCAAATCCTCTTGCCTATACCTTTTGAGTGGCTGGGATTAAAAGTATGCACCACTGCACCTGGCTTGCTTTTTTTTTTTTCTTTTTTTTTTAAGAAAGGAAACAGGAACAGGCTTGCATATATAGGCAGAGCTTGAAGATATAAAAAGTATATTGCTGGGCTGGGGCTGTAACTCTGCGGCAGAATGCTCATTTAGCATGTGCAAAGCCATCCCCAGTCCTGCAAAAAGAGAAAGAAAGTATGTCTGTTTCCTCAGATAAATTGTAAATTTCCAGTGGTGTGCTGAAAGAGGCATTCAAAAAGATTTTCTGAAATTGCAAAATGAAGGGAACACAGTCCTTAAGAATAAACAAGGGTCTGAGTGAAGGGAGGGAGCCTTAAGAAAAAGGGTGGGTCAGGACTTTCCCTGAGAGAGAGGGGATGGGAAACAGAGAAAACACAGGGATGTTATGAATGGAGAAGAGGCTTCAAAGGAATTGTTTGGCAGTGGAGAGAAGAGTCACATCAGCTGGCCTTGATCAGGCAGCGAGGTCACTGCTTGCAGAGGGAGCTGGCAGCAACCAGGAGCCAGGCAAAGTGGGAAGGAAGCAGCAAGACAGAAACCAGCTGCTGGGCCCATGTGTTTTGGAGTCAACAGAGATGCAGCAAAGCATTACCGTTACCGAGTAGCAGTGGAAAACCAGAGTGAACAGTGGTGGTATACAGTGGTGCCAATATACATGGTCCTTAATGCCAGGGTTAACTGGGTTTGGATTTGAATCCCAAATCCCTTCTTTTTTTTTTTTTTTTTTTGAAAAGTGGTAAGAATTAAATTAGGTAATGTTTGTAAAACAAAAGATTGCCTGGCATGTTAGGAAGCATGCAATAAGAATTCACTATTGTGATGATGGTGGAACGAATCTGAAGAATTGTGTGATTTCTCTTAAAGAAACATGAGGTCACCTGGAACCATCAAAGACAGGAGCAGTCATGACAGGAAGTGAAGATCCAAGGCTGAAGACTGGCCCAGCAGGCTGTTGGAGGACAGAGGGTAATGGAGTCTGGCATCCCAACTAGACGGAGACTATAGTCAATCCATTAGAAGAAAGATGAGACACTGAACTGAACTTTCAGCTGAGAAAATGCTCAGAGTGATGATGAGACCTAAAATGTTGCCATAGTCATAAACATCCTGGCTACTCTATATGCATTCATTCCATTTCTTGAACAACTTTTTTTTTTAGCACATATTATATACAGGCCACTCTTCTGGGTCTACTTAATGGGTTCATTGAGAGGATTAAGGCAATTATGTAAGGAAAGCATTTAGGGCAGAATTGGAGAAAATTGGTCAACAAAACCCACAAACATCCCTGTCCTTGTGAACCCTAAGTTTAAATGGGAGCACTAGCAATTGTCCAGCTCTGCCCTAAACTCCTTCCTTACATAATTGCCTTAATCCTCTCAATGAATCATTAAGTAGATACTAGCCAACCCTTTTTACAGATGAAGAAGTTATATTTGGCCCCAAATCAAATAGCTAATACATAGCAAAACTACGTAATCCTAAAATTCATGCTTGTAAAAACTATTCTATATTTTATCTCCATGTTGCTGGATAATTTTGATAGGTAAAGAGGAAAATCTTTAAGATTTGAAGTGCTTAGGATTTGTAAGGTCAGTATTTTAGGCTCTTCCTTTGGGTGCTCATTTTCCCAAGAATGATGGGAAAATGAGAACCAGTGAGAAATGTGAACTTGGCACTGAAGTCTTGGAACAAGGTGAAAGAGTGAAGGAAGTATGGACTTCAAATGAAGGAGGCAAAAATGGCAAAACCTATAGGGTCGAAGCAGCCATGTTTTGCAAGATCAACTGCTTGCTCATTCCTGCCTGTAGGGAAAGAGTGGGGGAGGTCACATCCTCCATCATAGAAGATCTTTGAGCCTCTGTAGAAAGCTGGATTCTCTGAAAGAGAAGGCCAGCAGCAGATGATGAGGCTAGAGATGAGAGGGGCAGGTGTGGCAGAAAAAGCTGGGGTTGGAAGAGCACCCAGGTTGCCATGTCAGGGGTCAGTAGCTGGGTGAGCAGGGGACAGGGTGGGAGAAGTTAGCAAGCGAAGCGAGGAAGCCAGGAGGCAGGCTGGTGTTGCAAGTTAGAAGAAAGGCAGGAGAGAGCCCGGCTGCTGGAATCTCCTGAGAGGGGGTTGAAGGGTTCATGTGCCGAGTTCCAATTGGAATGTCAGAGAGGGAAGGCCCAACTGCAAACTTACCTGCCTATGTGTGTACCACTCTTCAATGGCCTCCTCTTTCCCTTTGATGCTGGGGAAAGGAGGCTTTGCCATCACCAAATCTTTCCAGGGAAACTTGACTGCTGCTAGTCTACCTCATTGAATTCAGAGACATTACTGACTACCAGATTGGGAAGAAAGAAGACATCACCAGGTATAGAGACTTTTCCCCAACTGTTCCAGCTCATTTTGACCTGGCCAGGAGCCTAGGCTGACATCAAATCCCTGATGCTTTGATGCTTGCCTAGCAGGTGTGAGACCCTGCGTTCAATCCCCACTACCAAAACCAACCAAACAAATAAACAAACCAAAACCATGCTTGGTGAATTTCTGAGATCCCAAATAACCAGCTATCGGGGGCAGAAGAGGGTAATTTGAGTGATCAAGCCTAGAGAAAATTCCCTCAAATTATAAGTCAGAGATTTCATTAGCTGTCTTTCTATAGTTGATTCATTCCTAAAATGTATGAATGCTTCTCCAAATTTTTTTTTAAAAGCTTTTATGGACCTGGGCACAGTGGCACAAACCTGTTATTTCATCTACTTGAGAGGCTGAGGCAGGAAGATTACAAGTTCAAAGCCAGCCTAGGCAACTTAACGATCTGTCTCAAAATAAAAAAAATATAAAAGGGCTGGGGAGGTAGCTCAGAATAAAGCGCACTCCTAAGTTCAATCCCCTATACTGGGGAAAAAAACGTTTTTATGGAGCATGAATGAAGGAGAAAGGTTCACTCTGGTGTACTAAACAGTCCTATAGAATAAATGAAGAAAGTGGGTAGAGAAGGAAGAGGATGAGCCCTTCCAGACTTTCCTATGTGTATGGATCATCAGAGTTCTTGTTAAGATGCAGGTGTTGATTCAATGACCCTAGTATAGAACCAGAGATTCTGCCTGTCCTGCAAGCTCCCAGACCATGCTGATACTGATGGTCTGCAGACCACACTTTGATTAGTCAGGACTTTCACTATATAACTAGCCAAAAGTTATGACTGCGTTCAAAAGATGAGTTGTTTTAGTGGTAAGAATGCTGTTAATGAGTCTATGAGAACAGATTGTCCATCAGGGTTGGGTAATACAGTAGGATGATTGCAGAACTCAGAATCAGAATTGGCAAGTTTAAATGCTGCTTCTACCATTTGGTAACAATAAAACTTTCAATAAGTCATGGTTGTCTCTGAGAGACAGCTTCTTCATCTAAAATGATAGATAAAAATATCTGCCTTATTAATAGAACATGAGATGGTGTGAGGATTACACGAAACAATTTGGTAAAAGTGCTTTATTAATTGAAAGTGCTGCATAGGATACTGCTTATGTAGCAGTTATTATTACTGCGCTATTTGAAGTTAAAGAAACCTTCCTAATTTCTCCATTTCCACTACTTTCATTTTGATTGATAGGTAGGTAATTTTGGTGTTTGCTGTCTACCTGATACTGTGTTGAACACAGTAAGAGAGAGATACTTGGCTTACTCCTCACAGCTTCAATAACATCGACAGTAGTATTGTCAGCCCCATCTTACAGATGAGGAAGGAGGACCAGAGGAATAGAATTATGTCTGGATGTTGAGGGTTGATACTAGGATATGAACTCAGCCTGACTTTCCAAAATCCAACTTTCATTCACTGTATTCAACTGATTAATCGTAGTAAACACCCAACACCATAGAAGAAGGTGATAGTGTAGAACTGGAGTTGGCAAATTATTTCTGTCAAGTACAAGACAGTAAATATTTGGGCCTCTGTATGCCAAATGGCCTCTGTTGCAACCCTCTAACTCTGTCACTGAAGTGAAAATGCAGTCATAAACAACATGTCCAGGAATGAGTATGATCCTGTTTCAGTAAAATTATTTACAGAAACAGGTGGCAGGCTGGATGTGGCCTGCAGGCCATGTTTTGCTTTGCCTACTCCAGAAAATTCTGAGTTGTGCAATATAATAGTCACTAGATACATGTGGTTACAAAATTAATTCCTCAGTTGCATTAGCCACATTTCAAGAGCTCAGTAGAAATACATGGCCAGTGGCTATTGGATTGAATACCCTGGAGGACAGTTCTATTATCACAGAAAGTGCTATTGGAGAGTCCTGGTCTATATCATTTTTGGAGGTAGTCCTAGGGGAAATCCCTTACAAGTAGCTCTGAGGACATGGAAGATGAGTTCTAGCTTTGCTGTGTAACCATCCAAATAAATCATCTCCCAGAGCCTTAGTTAATGTGTACATAAAATGAGGATCATACCTTCCTGGTGGTGGTGGTTTAGGAAGGGAGTGAGAAAATACGTGGAGAGCACTGTGATGTCTTAGGGGGGCTGGAAAAACATGAGCCATCATTAGGATTCTATTGTTATTGAAATGTGAGAAATGTGAGATGGAATTTGTGGGGTGTCCAAATAGAGATCTAGGTTTTTAAATCACTCCTGAGGAAGCCCTTAAGATTTCAGAGAGTTGATGAAATA